GTGGTTCTTATGACCTTGGGGAAGCAGCCAGTACAGTCCTTTCTGCACTGACCGCGAGGAGCAGGGCATCTGAGCCCAGTTGTCCAGCTATGAGGTTGCAGGGATCGTCCAACCTTGTGTTTGGGAATCTGAAAAATCCAGTGGCCATCCAGACACTGTCAAGAACTTGCATGTAGTTTCCTCCTCACCCATTTTGCAAGGTTGGAATACTGCTCCCGAGCCTCGCTTGCTGGCAGTATTAGCACTGCATTTAAACATACTGGTTTTTTCAGTGTTTTGCTCTTGCTTGCTTTTAAAAAAATATCATATAGATACATCTATCAATAAACTCTAGCTAACTCTTTAGCCTTAGTGCAACATTGCTCAGAGTCTAAGTGGCTCTACAAGCAGTAGAATTAAAGTGAAGTTTTGGGCTTGCCTCTTTTAATGTTGGCTTGGCTACTGCTGTCACGTGGCTGCCTAGAGCTTCTGTGAAGTTGGACTTGGATTTTAGGCAAGAGGTGATTCTGTGCCCTTGCTGAAGGGCTTAGACGGGGAGGGCAATATGGGCCCTGAAGATGTTGGTGGACTATAATTCCCATTGTCTTTGACAATGAAAAGCTCTTTGGAAAAGTTTCAAAGCTTGTATGATTTTGTGGAAATCCTCATGCTTTTGTGTTGGTCCTAATAAAGTATTGCCCAGTGGTGAATTTTGTTTGTGGTTGCATATGTGGAAACTCTTGAGAGCATCAAAGAACAGGTTTGCTGTTTCTCATAAACTGGGGAACTGAGCAGTGACAAGGTCTAGGCGCCAGGCCTACCAAGACAGGGAGACCTGCCCTTTGGAAAAATTGCATACATTGTCTACTTTTATCAATTCTCCATAGGAAGAGCTAGGCCCAGACAGTGAACTGTTCTGTACGAACACTTCAGGCTTCTTTGAGCCACAGAGCATGCTGGGTACTATTTGCCTATTTATTTGCCCAGGCACACCTTGTTGTTTGAACCCAGGCCTATCTGAGGGGAGAACAACCATCAAGTAACTGAACAACAGGCTATACATTAATTGAAGGTTCTTTCCCTCTCAAACAAGCCATGCCAGCCAGGTTCAGATGACACAAGAAACTAGGACCAGCCTTCCACAGTGGCCTGCTTAAGCCATGGTGATCGTGCAGGCAGTGCCACTGTCTTTCCTCAAAGAGTGTTTGGGTGCCTGGATGACCTGCTCAGGTTGCTGCCCACTTCTAGGTTCTGCTCTGTGCATGCCACATAATAGGTTCAGGCACCTTTCCAGGAGCATTCTTTATTACTGCAAAAGAGAGAAAACACTAATAGCTGAGGCGTGCATGGCACCAGCTATGTATGCAAACATACATCCTTTCCAGCAATCTCCTCCAGACCTGAATAAAGGGAACTGCTACTACCATCAACTTCACAGCCCTCTCCACACATTTCTTTAAAATAAAGAACACATCAGGAAAGTGGAAAGCTTACAGTGGGCTATTCTGCAGAATTATCACCACATCTCTCACACGTCCACTGGTAAAATGGGAATACTGGGCACTGCGACATGGGGCTACTCCACAGGGCTGGCGTGTCCCCTGACTCTCAGGCACAACCTTTACTCTTGTAATCTATATATAATAACCATGAACCTTACATGGATCATCAGGGTAATTTTTAGGTGCTTGAAGGCTCAGAAAAATATTCATAAGACCTGACAGAAAGATCATTAAGATCTTTTTCCCAACTGGTTTTTTTTTGGAGGGGGGGCGGGTGGTTAGACAGTTCAAGCTACATTAAAATCCTGGATTTCTGAACTGACTTTTTGAGGCAACAGTCACTTCCCAGGAATGCTGCCAAAGGCTTTAAAATGAAGCAGGAGGTTCCCTTCTCAGACAGCATGTGTGTCAAGCATAGCTATGACTACATGCATTGGCTCAAAACCTGGAAGGTGGGAGCAGGCAAGCTTTGCTTACAAAACTAATGGGCAAGTAGCCCTTAGCGCGGGCTCATAGCTTATGTTCCGTAAGGGCTGGGGACTTTATTATTATTTTAGCTTTGTATTTGCATAATATGGCTAATTTGGGGAGGTTAATTGCTGCCTTCGCTGCCTCTTCTTGAAATTGCCCATGTTGGTATTGTTCATCCGCATGAACAATAATCGGGAACTGAAGGAGATGGCATATAGGGATACAATACAAGGGGCATGTCTAATATAGATGGCTCACAAATAAGGCAGAAGAACTTACAAACTGAAATGGAAAAATCAGATAACCATATTTTAGAAACATTGTCTTCCAAAGAAAATATTTAAGAGCCATTAATCTTGAAAAAACCTTGGGAGAGAGGCTAATTGGAATCCATATGATAGGCTTATCAGTATCATGTACCTGATTTAGGGACTCTTGTTTATCCATGCATATTTACGGAAATATTTCACACTGATTTCAATAGGATTTCAGTCATTAGTAGAGTTGCTAATGAGTAACCAAACTAGATTAAGCAAGCCTTAGCATGGCTGCTACCATTTAAAAAAAATTGTTTATTTATTTATGCCTGGCTGGATTCTGGGCCATTTACTAGACTTCGTGTGAATATAAAAGTCCCAGCTTTGGCTGACAATCAGATTTTGTTTTTCCCTTCTGTAAAACTGGAACCATAATTTTAACAGTGTACGAGGTTGAACATGGATTCTGGATGTTAGGCTGAGCTCAGTCCCAGCCACGCATGGCTTTACATGCTGCTTCATGGCCGATCGTGCTGCGGACGTGGGCAGGCCTGGCCCTCCCATAAAGAAGGGTGCTGCGATGGTGTCGGGGCTGGTGTGGGAGGAGAGGCAGGTGGTCCAGAGTGTCATCCCCTGCCCAGAGGGTCGCCCCCCGCCCTTGTGACCAGCCATATTTCCTCGGCTGGCTGTGGCTGCAGCTTCTGCACCGGCCCATGAGAAAGCCCTCACGAGACCCAAAGCTCTGAGGACCTTTGCAGCAACTCACCGGACAGCTGCTCTGGGGAGTCCCACCAGTTATGCGTCCTGCAGCAGTAGCCTGTGAATCAATTACTCTTCTATAGCACCATATAGCCAAAGTTCTCTGGGCGGTTTGCAACAATTAAAACCCTAAAACACAACATGAGAAGATCCGATGGAAAACTTTAACACCGCAGTAGGGTGTTAAAATAGTAGTGATAATGGCTGCAGGACTATGCTTGACAGACCTTCCCAAAGCAGCTGGCAGGGCCAGTGGTTCTGCAGGAGAGTCTGCAGAAAGAAACATCGGGCATCCGCTCGGGAGAACCCATCAGCTGCATCCTTCTGCCCCCACTGCAGCAAAAAGGGGCCGGAGTGGGTTTCTGGGTCTCCTTTCTCAGAGGGGGGCATTTTGGGCACACTGGAGATGGTCCATGCTCAGTGCTGGCACGATGGGTGGCACAGGCAGTCTCCATAGGCACCTCGCCCACAATTCCTCACTCTGAGGATCCCTTGGAGCAATGTTGTGCCGCTGGTGCTAATATGGCTTCAAAGCACACCCCTCCCCAGTGGGACTGGTAAAGAGGAGGAAGTCGAAACTGCGGGTTGCTTTTCTCCTCCCTGCAGCACAATATTTTGCAGCAGCTGTGCATGTGTGTGTGCCTTGCAGGGAAATGACGTTTGTAAACAGGAATGAATACACGGGGCTCTGGTGATTCCAGCTAACCATGAATGGAGGTAGTATACCAACTTGTTTGTTTTGTATTGATCAGGGAGAAGGTCCTGGAATGGTCCTAGACGGCTATTTCATTTAACTACTCATATATACATGCATATGGAAAACCTGGACAAGAGATGACGCTTTCAGGGAGGCACTTGGGCCTCCTCTAACAACTGCACAAACCTTCTGAGGAAGACCTGCTTCACAATTTGGGAACTCTATAAAAGCTAGAGGTCTGCCATGAAAGATTTGGCCAGTTATTCTAAACCAGCGAAAGCTGACCATGTACTCTCTCTGCTCTGTCTCCTAGCTTTCCTTTCTCTGTGCCTCTGCCCCTTTCCCTTCCTTTCTCAAATCCATTCCCTTTCTCAGCCTTCTTCCTAGCTCGCCACCCCTGCCCTTCCCTCCCCCCCCCCCCCCCCCCCCCCCCCCCCCCCCGCAGTTCCTGCTTTGTCTCTGTCTCTTAGGCCCTTCGGCTTCTCCTCCTCCTCTCTAAGTTCCAAGAAGTTCAACCAAAGGCAGCGGCGCAAGAAACCTCTGCATGCCATTATTGTTCTGTGATGTTGCTGATTGACATTAGCCAATCCTGGCCAAAGCCTTCATAATAACCACTACCTCCACCTCCACAGAAATCCCTTATCTCTAGATAGGTAGGGTGCATAGAGAACAGGCCATCTTACAAGTGCCCCTTATTATTTAGGCTTCAGGTTGGATTATTTTCATAAAAATAATCCATGTGTAAAATTTGTCCTGGATCTGGCCCAGCACACCTTTGTGTGGCAGAGACTTTCACGCCATTCACAGCAAATGCCTAGCAAATGGCGGAAGCGTAGCGAGCAAAGTTCAATGCTCACTCTGGATTTTTGTGGGATTGATATCATCACCATGCCCCATGTGAAGCCATCATGATGATGATTTCCTGCATACGCATAACACAACATTGATTTGTGTGACCATGGGTTGGCCTGATCTGAAGTGACGCTGCCGAGCTTTCGTTTAAACCATGTGGAGCTAAAGGTTGCAGTCTGATACAGCAGCCTTGCCTGCATCATTAAGCACTGACTAATTAACTTTGGGGTTGGTAGCATTACATCGATGGATGTTGTAAAATGTGCTGCCTTCACTATAGCATGCGTATCGATTCTTTTGGGAGTGCCTGCACACCAACAGCAGACCAATACTTGGAAATGTTGAGAAATGCTTATGCCTGCATATTTACAGCATGCCTAATAATAACCTTGCAGCATTTGCACTGCATGGACTTGCACAGGATTTCCCCGGCTGTTCTTTCAAATGTTCTGTCCTGTACTCAGCAGTGTCTCCTAATTTCAGGGAGCAGAGAAGCAGCCTTCACCTATGCCATCATTGCTGCGGGAGTAGCGCATGCAATCACTGCTGCCTGCACGCAGGGGAACCTCAGCGACTGCGGCTGTGACAAGGAGAAACAGGGACAGTACCACAAAGACGAAGGATGGAAATGGGGAGGCTGCTCTGCAGATATCCGATATGGAATAGGATTCGCCAAAGTCTTTGTGGATGCGAGAGAAATTAAACAGAATGCAAGGACGCTCATGAACTTGCACAACAACGAGGCGGGGAGAAAGGTAGGCGGCTTTGCTCACCTCTTCAAGGGACCATCCCATGTCTCTGCAACATGTATGTGCTGTGCATGGAAGGTAATGTAGCATTTTACCATCGACATTTACAGACTACCTTACTTGCTAACAAGACATCAAGGCAATGTACGGCTATTGAAAACAATAAAACTATAGCATGTTAAGTAGCAAGGACTTTAAAAAGAGTGAAGCATTAAAAAATAACTACATTGTTTAAAAGAGTTAATTTACCAAGGCAAGTCTTCACACCCTTTCTGAATGTCAAGGGCATGGGATTCAGCTGTAATTCTTCTGGGCATGCATGTCACACCTTGAAAGTGGCACAGGAGAAAGCCCTTTTCTGTGGGCCGGAGGAACGGGCCTCTGTGCTCGAGGTGTCCTGGGAGATCCAAACAACCAGGCAGGTTTATAATGAGGCTGGTGGCCCTTAGATGGCCAAGTCCTAAAGGTTGAAACAACACCTTGAACTGAGCCCAGAAAGCACAGATGTAACATAGTCCTGATGCTTTCCAGCTCATCAGTATGCACCTTTGCACATCGCAGGACTGTTCTGGCAAACACCTGTCTCAGATTGACACTTCACAATATTAAATCAGGAAATGAAAACAGAGAAGAATGACATTGTGATTACAATTGCAAGATTACAATTGTCCTGCTTTATGTGTAGATCAAAGATAAGATTTCCTTCTGATTCATATTCACCTCCCCGTTGTTTAGTGGAAAATGAATTTCCTCTACACTAGGAGAATCTGTCCTTGCTTTTTAAAGGGTGGCTTGGCTGGAACCCAGTCAACCAGGGGAATCACATGATGGGCTCTCTAAAGCTAGGATGCATAGCAAACCCCAGTGGCTGAGATCCTAATTGCCTATGGACCAAAGTAGCCCCCTCCTGACTGGCCCACTATGGTCCTGAGGTGGGTTCCTCCTTCCCTCTCTCAAGCGTACCTGAATATCTGTACTGCTTCCCAGCTGCTCCAGCGATCTTTATTAAATGGTTTTGTCACAATTCTCCCCTTCTCCCATCAAGTATTTTCACATACTCTCCCTGTTGAAACACGGTGATGGACATATCATTCGGCCAATGGGAATAAAGCAAGCAGTAGCATGTCTGTTGCTAGGGAGCTGAGGATAATAGGTGGGCTAGAAGCAACTGCTTCTGTAGCCATTCTTGCCAGGGAACTCTATGGTGTTGTACCAACAAAGGTAAAATTGTGACTCTGGGTATGGGCAACTGGAGAAGCCATGGTGAAGTATGGAAACTTTGGAATATTGATTTGTTCCATGGTTTCAGAAAACTATGCCATGTGGGAACTCTGGGACTGGGTCCGGATGACACAATGACCCACAATGGCAAGTTTTCACCATGGCTTCTTGTGTCATGCCCACTGTGTAGCAACTTCATGAACTGGTCTTTAACACACATGCATGGTGTGGCCAACAACTGCTCAGTTTATTTAGTTTTATTTTATTTGTTATATTTCTATCCCTCCTTTTTCCTATCCAGGATCTCAGGGTGGATTATGTAATTCTCCTCCTTTTCTCAATATTATCCTCACAACAACCCTGTGAGGTAGGTTGGGCTGAGATTGATCAGTTGATCAGGGATCAGTTGATTCTGCATTTGCTTTGATAATATTTGAATAAATAAACAGATCACTTTAGCATGAGGCAAGTCAACGATTTTTGGGAAGAGGATCAACAGTCTTTCAGCTGCTCCTCAGAACTGCTAACTCTAGGATAAGTTGTATTTTAGCCAGGAAGGTTCTTCAGAAGCATTTCACTTTTGTCACCTGATCTGGGATGGCCTTGCCATTTGTCAGAATGTGGTAACCTCCCCAAAGCAGCAAACACACAAAACAGCGAGCGTGGTATAGTGGTTAGAGTGTTGTACTGGGGATGTGGGAGCTCCAGGCTCTAGTCTTCACTCAGCTACGGAGCAGCATGGTTGACTGTGGACCAGTCTCAGACTCGCAGTCCAGTTTACCTCACAGGTTTGTTGTTGTGGGGATAAGGATGCAAGTTATCCTTCTCCTCCTGCTTTCAGTCTTATCCCCACAAGATAAGTCTTGGGTTCCTTGAAAGAAAAAAGGCAGAAACTAAATGTAATCCATTAATAATAAATAAACAGTGCTTGAGGGCAGCCATGGTAGCATCCCATTGTTCCTTGTGAATGCTCTGGCTACTCCCTTCTACTAGAGGTTCGAGTTTTGCGTGCCACACTGCCTCTTCTAGGTCACATAAGCTAGCCTGTTTCCTCGGCTGTGAAGGGGAACACTATCTGATCCTCAGTGTTCAAGTAACATTCAACCGTCAGTCCTGTGAGCTTCTGGACGTGGCCTGGAGAGGAGGCCATCATCTTGTTTTTCCCCTCAAGCAGTAAAATGTCTTGGGCCAGTCCTACATGGATACACCACAGTGGAAGCAGTTGTTTGCGCGCACACACACACACTTTTGAAACTGCACTGTTCTGAGCATCTGCCTGAGCAATACCGAAGTTCACAAGGTGTTAAGTTTCTTTATGGATGATCTGTGGCTTAACACGATTCAGAACATAGTAGTTTCCATATGTTTTAGGAAGCTAAATCATTGGGAAGGGAAATCTGCACCCTCATTTGCACCTTCATCATGGACAGCCTTCTTAAGATGCATTTCCCCTCCCTGCTTCTTCTGGCAAGAATTCAAAACTCACTGGAGGATCCTTGAAATGGAAGTCACTTAAGACACCCATGTGGTAACAGGGAATTAGGCTCACATGGCATAACTCCTGAAAGCAAAACCTTGAAGGCCAAAAAGGCCATAATTTATTTATTTATTTATTTATTTTATTTATAACATTTCTATGCTGCCCCCATCGGAACAAAGCCTCGGGGCGGCTCACAACATAATTAAAACATATAAATAACAACTAATATGATTAAAGATTATAAAGCCCGGTAACATCTCAGCTTAAAAATTTAAAATCCTATAAATACATAATAAATTAACAATTCAAATAACTTTTAAATAAAAAGGTCTTGGCCTGGCGCCGAAAAACAAATAACGACGGCGCCAGGCGGACCTCTCTGGGGAGCGCATTCCATAGGTGGGGCGCCACCACAGAGAAGGCCCTCCTCCGGGTACAATAATTGATTGCTTCCATTGAGGATGTCATGAAAGATAGGGCTACCAGTGGCTACCAGTCAGGGTGACTCTTTGCTGTACCAGAGACAAAGTACCCCTGAATAGCAGTTTCTGGGGGAAGTGAGTGGAAGGCTGCTATTGCTCCTGGTTACCTGAAGGAGCGCTTACATCCATATATGCCCGCCCGCCCCTTGAGATCTGCGGGAGAGGCCCTTCTCTGGGAACCCTTCATGAAAGAAATTAGGAGGGTAGGTACTCGGAGGAGGGCTTTCTCTGCAGTGGCGCCCAATCTATGGAATGCGCTCCCCAGAGAGGTCCGCCTGGCGCTGTCGTTATTTGTTTTTCGGCGCCAGGCAAAGAAGACCTTTTTATTTAAGCATCATTTTAATTGTTAATATTACTCGCTTATTTTATCTGGCCAGGGCGACTTATTTTATATTGTTATCTTTTGTATTTTATGTTGTGAGCCGCCCCGAGGCTTCGGCAAATGGGGCAGCATAGAAATGTTTTAATTAATAAATAAAATAAATAATAAATTGCACTTATGTCACACTTGTGGCTCCCAGCATGTATGTGGTCGGCCACCCTAGGAACCAAATGCAGAACTAGGTAGGTCTCAAAAGTCTGATCCAGCAAGGTTCTTCTTACACTTTAGCTACATTTAAGCTAAAATGTAAAGGTCAGAGATAATTTCTTTTGCATTTCCTTTCCATCTGATCTCCTTGTTTTCATTGCTGTGCCTCTGCATCCATGTGCACATACACCTGCCAACCAAGTATAACTGATGAAGCAGAATCTAGTAAATGAAAACTTAGGCCCTAATTAATTTGTAATGTGGTGCCTCGAGACTGTTTGCTGCTATATATGCAACACAGTTACCCCTCTGGAAACAATAGAACCGTTCTTGCTGGTGAAGTATACAGACAGAATATTCAGATCTTGTTTTGACGGCCAAAATATTTTGGTCTGACCTTTGTATGCAGAGATGATCTCTCCAACAGCTGGTTCCAAAGGCAAAATATTAATGTGTTTTGAGTTTCTCTTGTGGTTTGGTTTAAAAGTGGCTTTAATAATTGCTATCTTTCTCCCAAACATTAGATCAGAAACTTGACTTTAGGCCCTTTGAAGTGGGAAGACTTCTCTTAGTCTGTCTGTATCGTCCTTTAATCTGAAGGGCCATGTCTGTTACATCAATTAAACATACTGTATTTTTCGCTCTGTAAGATGCACCTGACCGTAAGACGCACCTAGTTTTTAGAGGAGGAAAACAAGAAAAAAATATTCTGAATCAAATGGTTTACTAAACTATTTAATAAACTATAACAGAATACAGTAATACCATATTTCAAACTTGTAAAGTGAACAGCAGTCAACAGTGGCATTAAGAACCATCATCACTGTCATTAACAAAAGAGAGACTTTAAAGTTCGAGTACTCTTCTAGTTTTCGTTGAACCCATAGAACTCATCATCACTAGAGTCAGAATTTATGAAGCTTTGTTGCTCACAATCACTGACATCACTTTCTTAGTAGTGGAATTATTGAAGGAATCCACAATCTACACCAGTTATACAAGAGCTGCTGCAGACAATTCAATAACAAATCTAAAAAAGCCAGCAATGTCCACGCTGCCCTACTAGTAAATAATAGAAAAAAACTTCTGACAAAAAAATGAGATATTGTACGGTAAATCAAACACACAGCGGACTAAGTAGCCTTTGAAGAATAAACTTCACACACGAAGGTAATGCTGTTCAAATATCCACTGATCCTAAAAAAAATGAGTCTGATCAACTAACAGATAACTGATCCATGGAAAGCTTCCTGATAATCACAGGCACATTCCCCATCACTTCCCCATGGGCTTC